CGGAAGGCGGGCAGGAGACGGACGAGACGGCGAGGGAAGAAAGCAAACGAGAAGAGACGGACCGAGTGGAGCGATACGTGCCGGATTGAATTTCTATTGGCCAATTCCCCCCGCCCAACGCTGCACCATTGCACCAACCCCCCACTGGTGATGACGTACCATTACAATGTATCGCTGGTTGGTGGCCATGTTTGCGTGTTTGCTTGTTCGTTAGTGGTCTCTCCACCGTTTGCCTTGTCCTGTCTCCTGTTTCTTGTTATTTTCGGCCTGGTTCCTTTTTGTCCTCGCTGTTTTTCATTTTGTTTTCTCTTTCCTTACTGTTTCCTTGTATTTTTTTCTCTTTTTCTCTGTTTTCGCTTTTTCTCCCTTTTTTTCTCTCTTTTTCTGTGCCAGATGGCCTTGTCTCTGTTTGCGTTGTGAAGTACCAAGATTGAACTAAGGGGGTGTACCTCTTTCTCTCCGGCCTGCGATGGTGACTCCTAGTCTCAGTTGTTACCTCGCATAGCGCGCAGAGGGAGTGGAGGACTCCAGAATATCTGTCGTTGATTTCTATTGACTTGCGGACCCCTCGGGGCCAGTTTATTTGAGTGTACCTTTAGGGAAAGTTGACCTGTGACCACGGGAATCGACCGCGTCGAGTGTTGGGTCAGTACGGACATACGAAGGTACTGGGTAGAGAGAGATCGGAACGGTTTTTAATGTTAAGACAACAACAACAACCAGCAGCAGCTGTGTTACGCACGTATAATCTCGCCTCGCTTGTATTTTACACTCTCGCGAACGGAAAGACAAAACACTCAGGCGAATCTTGGGCGAGGCAAATACCGCACACCATGTTTTCGTTGCACTTCAAGGCGTGCAATCACCCTGTTCCTGTACGTTTGAAAGTTACAGTTAATCGGGCTAGACCCGAGGGTCGCTATTCGAAGAAATTGAATCATCCTCGACAGATGTTGCGTATGTGGGACTCGTGCTAGGGGTCACCTCCACATTATTGTTTTCTGGACAAGAAGATGCCTTCTACGGGTACCGGACGAGGACAAGTCGACTCAGCTCAATGTGATTCCGACACAGCGCACCTTCTTCCCACTTCTTGTGTATGGGATACTGTCCACAACGATCACCCGCTTGGGCACGTGCCGCGAGGTGAGGTTGGAACGAATAATCGCCTTGATTTTCCTCTCCAGCTCGCCCGTGAGAACGTAATGATTTTTGAGCTGCAAATTCGGAGAAACATCACATGGAACGGAACGGATCGGGTAAGCCAATAGGACGAGCGGAACGCTTGGTAGGATAACATCGATGATGAAGTGCACGCGAAAGAGAGGCCGTCGGTCCAACGTAAACAACCCGCCAAACACCGGAGACCGGTGAATCACCATGGAAAAAAGACGACGTCGAATGGAGGGTGAGCTTTGACCTGCTCTTGAACAGGTGTGCGCCTTACATCCCTCCTCAAATGTCACGACTTTCACCGTCTCGTCACTGCTACTTTGCAGAGCGCTGGCGTCATCGCTCGTCACAGCGATTCAGAATGAAGGCAGGCCAGCCCACAAATATCGAACAGATTCAAGACCTCTGACGCTCTATGAAACACCATTCACAGGGTCGAAATACGCTAGCCCCGAAACGATAGGATCGTGCAGATCGTGGCAATCCTCCACTCTATATTGTTTCGATCATCGCCCCCGTTGCATCATACCAATCGTGAATCGTACAGTTCGTGGCCGGATCGCACAAATAGTACATAAAAATATTGGACCGATTCCAAGGAACGACGGGCACAATCGCAAAGACGTTTGTCGTTCACGTTCTGGGATGGGTGTCCTTCTCCTCCTCCTCCTCCTCCTCTCCCTCCTCCTACTCCTTCTCCTCCTCCTTCCCCTGCGATGGGCACTAGCTTGACGAAGAGCACCACCTCCACGTCACCGTCAACCCGAAGACCGACGGCAAGAGAATCTTCCACCTCCGGCACCATCTCCATCTGCATGACAGAAGGACAAGAAAGATCCATGTAAAACTTAGCCGTGTCAAAGCGTGCCAGCTGCGGTTGCTTCAGCGTTGTTGTCGGAAGACTTTGAAAGACGCCGCGGAGACTCGAAGACTTTAGCGGAGCTTGACAATTCCATGTACTCAGCTAGGCTAGGACGCGCATCACGGAGCACAGGAGCATGCAGTGCGAGATAATAGATAATAAACACGCCAACTTTGTTGTTCGGGTTTCTTCTTGATGTTGCCACCCTCACGCTTACGAACCACACCAGAATACAGATGGTGCTCGCACTTAAGCACCTAGCAGCTGAGAATTGCAGCCTCGAAAAATTGAAAATTTAAGAACTTGGCCATAAGAACACGTGCTCAGTTCCGACGTGGTATTAAGAACAAGAACCCGTATTTGTCGTTTGCAAAGCGCCTTCGGATTAGAACAGACCCTCCAAAAGTTGCAGCTGCAAGATAAAAACTCATGAAGGTGGTGAGGGGTGACTCACGGAGTGTCCAGTGACTCCATCCACCGGCAGTTTCAGATCAGCGACGAGGAGGGGGATCTCCGTTTCAGGCGTGATTGCCCTCCCCGCTCTATTAACGCCCGTCGTAGCTACATTGCGACCTTCACCCCGCTCGTCGAATGCCGGACCTCCTCCCTGCTCTACGGCGCGCTCCCCTCAAGCAAAGCCCACCACCCTACCACCACACCCGCATCTTCGCTGTGCTTGTCCAACGGCATTCATGCGGCGCGTCTTTGGTCTACATGTAGCTCGAAATGCCCACCGTAGTCGTAAAGGTGGCGGGTACGCTCCTGAGACGGCCGAGTGATCAGCNCGCCTTCGGATTAGAACAGACCCTCCAAAAGTTGCAGCTGCAAGATAAAAACTCATGAAGGTGGTGAGGGGTGACTCACGGAGTGTCCAGTGACTCCATCCACCGGCAGTTTCAGATCAGCGACGAGGAGGGGGATCTCCGTTTCAGGCGTGATTGCCCTCCCCGCTCTATTAACGCCCGTCGTAGCTACATTGCGACCTTCACCCCGCTCGTCGAATGCCGGACCTCCTCCCTGCTCTACGGCGCGCTCCCCTCAAGCAAAGCCCACCACCCTACCACCACACCCGCATCTTCGCTGTGCTTGTCCAACGGCATTCATGCGGCGCGTCTTTGGTCTACATGTAGCTCGAAATGCCCACCGTAGTCGTAAAGGTGGCGGGTACGCTCCTGAGACGGCCGAGTGATCAGCTCCCCAAATCAGCCCATGCTCAGTTTTACGAGCACTCCACATGTAGCAACGAACTGTCAAGACATCGGTTTTAGACGCTTGAATTTGAAAACTGATGGGTGCGATAAAGGAAGAGGTGTCGGAAAGCTTTCGTCGCCCCCGCGCCGACTCGATGGCCTCCCAGTCTGACTTCGTGGGCAGTTGCCAGCAATGACATGTTCTTTGATGGCCTCTACGTGTCGATCAAGAATTACACCTCCTTTCAACTTTGTCAGCTGGCCGAGCTCGTTCAATATTTCAGGGGGTAAAGACATGGCTCTCGTGCATGGCACGCAGCGTGGCAGACACCCCAATGACACGCAACGAGGGGTATGCCTCGTACAACAAAGCTAAGCACCTACCCCCCTCCCCCCTCCGCACCGACCAATGTAACATGTGAACGCGGCTTCGAGTGCGAACACCGGGTTCATGAAGTTGCGGAATGGCTGTTGTACAAGGAGAGGAGATTTTACGTGAATGAGCCTTGGGAAAAGAATAAGGAACATACAGGGAGATGTTTGAGGCATGGAATACCAGCTAGGTAGATGTACTGAGGCATAGAACGTGGGTTGAAGAGTGGGACGTGATATCGATAGGATAGACAGGCTAGGGAAAACTTTTTTGAGACATTTGTTTTTGGAACGATTGGCCATCGATCTTCGGTCCTGTCGGGACAATACTCCGTCCGCTCGAGGACGCGTGGTCAATGGTCTAACCACCAAGATATGCAAAACATAGGAGTACGCCCCGCCCCCCGCCCCCTCTCCGCACCAGTAATATTTGAACGTGACCCTTGTGGACTTCTAAATGGTTCAACGTGTGTGCTCAGATGCGTCATTTTTTCAGGCGACACCGCGTCTGTATTTTTCTCTACCCTATCGTGATCTGCGGTTCGTCGATTCCAGAGGTTCCTGTTGAGCGACGTTCTATGATTATACTCCGTTTTATGAACACGCTGCTCTCAAGTGTCAGGCTGAATCCGCCCAGAAAAAGAAAAAGGCCTCCGAATGGGCGCCTCGGCGTAGAATCAAAAACAAGAACCGCGTGTATCATACGGATATGCCTGCTCGAAAAAAAACTTTGAAAACAAGAACAGGTGCTCAATTTGAGCGAGCCAAAAAGCATCGAGCCTTGGCCAATATAAGCGGGTTCTTAAGGGGGGCGCCATCTGTAGTGTGTCTGCAGTAGTACAACACCGTCACTCAATACACGTGACCCACCCAGCGTTATCATCAGCAAGGTTAGGTCACGCTTGTGTAAAACTGACTGGAGCCTTAACCTCACCTGTCTATAAATCTCGGCCGTGCCAATGCGAACGCCTCCGGGATTAAGCACAGCGTCGCTTCGCCCCGAGATAACAACTCCGCCCTCTTCGGTTATCTGACACCCGCACCAAAAAGCGTTGAAGTTATCGAGTGGCCTTAAGCTGACCAAGGGTTGTTGTACTGTATACTGCTGTGGCTGCTTTGGTTGTTGCATCATTCTCGTACCTTCACCATGCATGTTCACGTGACAATGGCGTCAAGCAGAGTCCACTTCTACTACCAGGTGGCGGCAAAAGCTTGGAATAGAGGAAAATCATCCGTCTTTCCTCATTACACAGCATATAAAGCGGAGAAGTACACATCTATTCTCATGCGGGATACACAAACGCTTTGAGGTTCGAGGCGATAACGACAAAATGGCGGACGTGAACGGAGAGAATGGAATCGCTTTACGCGCACGTCAACGTACGTGTTCAACAATCTAGGGCGTATTGGAGGTTGGCAAAACAACACATATCTTCTGCTATCTAGGCATATACAGCACAGTCTTCCTGTTTCACCTTGATATAGTCCCCGTGCGCCCACACGTCCTCTCCCTTGAAAGCCTCGAAGTACGCGGACCGGTACTTGGAACCGTCCGAGTCGCCCCAGAAGGACACCGGCATGGAAGGGAACGGTGTTCTGCGTGCGTTACATACCGCCACACCCGGGATATGGGACGATGCGCGTCATTTAGAGCAAACCCACCGCGGAATCGCAGCACACCCAACATTTGGAAGGGGTGAAAGATGTGCTATAGCGGAGCGATGTCCACGAAGACTACGTATTTTTGTACGTGTGTTGATAAACTACCTTACAGCGTTCCCTGTACACATCGGCCATCGTGCACGGAAGGGGTCCTCACCTACACACGAGCTCCCCCATCTCCCCCGTTGCGACTTCCCTTGACGGAGATTCCAGTGCCGCGGCTACTGCTCCTGGTGCTGTTGCTACCACGGGGTGGTCAACACAATCTCTATCAACCTCGTCGCCGCTGCCGCCGTCGTCACCGGCCGCCTCCTGACTCCCGTCGCCGCCGTACGCGCAGACATCCATGCCCAGTCCGAGGCACTGCAGGTGCCCGGCCCGGACCGGAAGGGTCGGGTTTCCGAGGGCGAAGCACCCCAGGATATCCGTACCGCCCGAAATGGAGGCCAGGTGGACGTCACCTTTCACGGCCTGGTCGACACACCGGTGTTGGGAGGTGGCGTTAGGGGGGGGGGAGCGGGGTGCTCATAGTCGTGCATGCCGTCGCCGTTTGACCATTGACCTTGCATCACTACAAAGCTGGGACGGAGAACGCCGGTGTCTCACCGGACCAGGCTCTCACTTCGCCAAGCGCGGAGCGCCATGAGGTATTCGGCGAGTCGCATAAAGGGTGCGCTGCATCCTGCTAAGGGTGTTCGGCATCTTGTGCTTACTTCCTTGCGTACGGAGGACAGCCGCGAATGGCTTAATTTATTTTCTGGTGCTTTCACTTCCAGAGACAGATATAAGCGATGTGTAAGTGCCTCTCGGGTGCTTGACCAATTTATCACAACATGGTGCGACCATCCCCTTTGCGCGGGGTGAGGGTTCTCGACCCCGCACAACATGATCTTTTCGACCACCATTATGGTTACCGCAAACAAAAAAAACAAGGGCGGAAAAAAAGCGTAACCTAGTTGTCGAGCTCAGGAGGCGATTGGCTTGTTTCACAACCTCGTGGTCGAGCGACGACAACTCAACCCCGACGGCAAACGCCGGGGGAGGGGTGACGTTAGGGCAGATGGGCAGTACGCGGGAGGGGGGAGACGTAAAAAATGTTTGCTCCTATTTCGAACATGAACACTTTCGGCCGATGGGGGAACGCTGATTACGGCGGCGGTGGGTGGTTTCCCTCGTGGTTTGAAGCACTTCCTTATTCCTGTTTTTCCTCCCTACAGTTTTTACCACTCCCTACGCCGGAAATCTCCCCCCCCCCGTTGTTTGCCATCGGGGTTGGGTTTTCGTCGCTTGGCAACGACGT